GGGAAGACACCCTCCCATAAAGAAGCGTTTATAATTCCCTGGAGCCAGGCTCGTGTCCCCTCCCGGGCAGCCAGTACCAGCCAGGAGGGGCACGGATCCAGTAAACATGTGGTTGCATTCAGCCTCCCCAGAATCCTGTCCACGTCCTCAGGAGCCACAGAGTCAAACTCGTCCCATATAACAGTCTCAAGACTTGCTCTATTGCAAATAGCTAAAGACTATTTGTAGACTGCTAGATTGAATCCATGATGAGTCCAGATCCTTCCCAACTCATAAATGTGGATATTTAACAATTCTGAATTGTCTTTGCATGCTTTTACTTAGTTTCAAGATTATGGGCATCTCCCTACTCTATTGTGATGAGGATGTGCTGTAATATGTCACCTTCCTTGCCAAAGCATTTCTTTGCTTTTTTAAAAAAATGATATTAATATCCTTTTCTGTCAGTGGATCTTAGAGCCAGCCAGAAGAAAAGACTTTCAGATGGACATTTCATTGTATGACTTTCATTTCATCCAGATTCTTCCAATAAGTTTGGAGTTCAGTTGGAATTGAATTTGTAGCTATTTTAACTTTTCTGAAAGATTTGCACCCCAAAGAAATAGCCATAAAAGTTCATATGTCCTGGGTTTATGGTTTAGGCTAAATAGGAACTCCACCCAAACCAGTAATTTTTTTGATGGAGGACAATATCTTTTAATTAACTGTGCCATCAGTCCAGAACTGATTCCTATTTATGATGCAACCATGATAGCGTCTGGTGCAGGATGAACAGAGCTGACTTGCTTCCATTTGAAATAATACTCATTGGATTAGATTCATGACCACTTTAGATCCCATTGATTTTTATACTTCTACTCAGAGTCTGATTATCTGAATATTGAAGCCACTTCTATGTATCCTAAAATTATTGTTTTACCATTCTACAATACAACTTGGGTTGCATATTTTCTTTTTGCTCTTTATGAAACATGAGATGAACATTCTGCACCATTGATGTCAACTTTTCTTTTTCAGAGCTTCTTCAACCATAAATCTGATTCTTTTGCATAATTTATTCTGTTCACTTGCTTAACAGAGAGGAACAAGCAACTATTCATGAAATGGAAAATATATCAGAATTCTACATAGCTTCACCTTCAAAGATATAACTAAGCATTTCCAACAATCTCATAATCTAGGTTAATCCCCTTTCTTCTTTTCCCCGTTTGGAATATAAATTGTTTAGATAATGGTCCCAAGAAGATTGTTGGTCCAATGACTGGGTTTAAATTCCTTGGACATTTAAGAAATATTAATGCATGATGATATATCAACCTTAAGCCTGACATGGGAAGAGAGGTATTATAATTAATGAGCTATTTCAGCAGTGAAAGGTACTGACATTTACCTTCTGTTAAAATTTATAATGATTAAGAAAGTTTGGTAAGAAAGTTAAACAAAGAAGATTAAAAGTTCTTGTAGCAAAGTCATAGTTCTACAGCAGTTTTGTCTATTAGAGAAGCTCAACTTCTGAGTTATGGGAGTTGGACTTCAGCTCCCATAATCCTCCATCCAATGGCTATATTGGTGCTACATGTGGAACTGAAGATCACAAGTGGAAGCAATAGATTGTGGTCAGATGTTTTATAGTTTTTCATAACCAAAGGACCAAAAGCTGCTCAATCCACCAATATTATCTTTTATATTTTGCTAGATGCAGCACATCTCCCTTGGATAAATAGGGATTTCTCATCACATATATTAAATCTAGTCCTAAAATCAATGGTGACATTTATGCTATTGAAGGAAAACCTTCATGTTGAACTCAACTCAACTCCTGATAATTCCACAGGTATGTTTAGGCAGCAGACAATGCAATTTTGGTACTCATTCCTAACTACAGATCTAGAGGAATCCACCAAAGTGATCAAATGCCCAGCCAACAATTATATATTTTTCTTAAATTATCCTTTAGCTGGTATATATGTAAATCCTTCAGCAAAAATAACAATTGTAGGACCACCTCTTACATATATCATCCTTTTGAAATAATATATTTCTCATTCCTAGGGATGCCCCATTTTACCTTCTTTAAATTAATAATCTATCTCTTTCTTGTCATGATGTTGCTGTTTTCCCTTACTTTATGCTCTATTTTCATTCCTTGAGTTATTACATACAATTATGTATAACAAAATCCTGACTTCAAGACCGATTATTTCAGTAGGAATCTTTTTCTGGGTAAAGTTATACCCAATGCATCAAGAAAACACCATTTATTTTATTATTTATTTATTAATTAAACTTCTATGCCGCCCTTCTCCCCAGAGGGACTCAGGGCGGCTCACAGCATGTTAAAAAACAAAACAAAAAACATTTCCCCTATAAAACCAATTAAAAAGCAAATATATTAATAGCTGTGTCATATTTAAAATCTTTGAAAATTTTTAAAAATTTATTCCCTATTTAAAATTCACCCTAGG